ACGCCAGCTGCTCGGAGCCTAACCTGGCACTCAAGGCTCTGGCCTTCAACGGCTCCCCTTTGCGCTTTGACAAGTACCGGAACTCGGATTTTGCCCATCTCATTCCCTTGACAATGTTGTACCCCAAGAACCACTTGGAGCTCACATTCCACCCTCCCCGACCTCAGACTGCGCCTCCCAGCATCCCTTCACCCAAACACTCCTTCCTCGCCTATCTGGGACTAAGAGAAAGAGCAGGGACTGTCTGAGGGCAGCCCTGTTCTGTACCAAAAACAAAGAGACTGAGAAAAAAAAAAAAACACAAAACTTAAATACAACCCCAGCAGGTATATGTTGCTGCAAAACCTACAGACCCCGCGGGTCTGGACCACGTGTACTGTATATCTTAGTAAGGATAGAGGGTTGGCTCTGTGTGTATACCTATCGCATTGACCTGAAAGCTGCTTTATCCAATCTTCAGAGAGGTGACCTACTGCATACTTCTACCTTCAGAGGCATGCCTCCCCAGCCACCCACCACACTCGCAGCCCCTTCTCCGTACTTTCCTCCGAAAGGAATTTTGTCTTGTTCAACCCTAAAGAGAGTGTCCTTAATAGCAATCAGCACTTGTAAGCTTCGATACTGGTGCATTTGGTTTTCTGTTGGGTGAATGGGGTGTGTGGGTGATTGCGGGTTCTGAAAGAGAAAGCTGTGTGTCGTGGGCCATGGCATGTCCATTGCATGTTCTGTGTCCTGGCTTCTTTAACAGCGATGGACATGCTTTTCCCTCCTGGGTTGTTCGTCCACTACAGTCTCTCCCTGAGCACCTTCATCTTCCCTCTTTATTTTACGGCTACAGAGTGGTAGGGCCTGGTGCTCAGTCAAGGAAGGAATGGTAGATGTCTACAGTGCTGCTGGAGATTTCCGACGGAGTGCCGGAGACCTTGCACAGAGATCTCTGGTCGTGAGGATGCGAGGACTCGAGTGACAGGTCTGGAAGAAATATCTTGCAGCACTGCAGTTAACATCACAAAACCCAAGCGAGTTTTGTGTGAGTGTGTGTGTGCCCATACGTAGACAATGTGTATGGGGCATATGCACAGTGCATCATTTTTTAAGGGCAGATTTTATATATATATATATATATATGTATATATATATATATATATACATATATATATATATATATATAAAATCTGCCTTTAAAAAATGATGCACTGTGCATATGCCCCATACACATTGTCTACGTATGGGCACACACACACTCACACAAAACTCGCTTGGGTTTTGTGATGTTAACTGCAGTGCTGCAAGATATTTCTTCCAGACCTGTCACTCGAGTCCTCGCATCCTCACGACCAGAGATCTCTGTGCAAGGTCTCCGGCACTCCGTCGGAAATCTCCAGCAGCACTGTAGACATCTACCATTCCTTCCTTGACTGAGCACCAGGCCCTACCACTCTGTAGCCGTAAAATAAAGAGGGAAGATGAAGGTGCTCAGGGAGAGACTGTAGTGGACGAACAACCCAGGAGGGAAAAGCATGTCCATCGCTGTTAAAGAAGCCAGGACACAGAACATGCAATGGACATGCCATGGCCCACGACACACAGCTTTCTCTTTCAGAACCCGCAATCACCCACACACCCCATTCACCCAACAGAAAACCAAATGCACCAGTATCGAAGCTTACAAGTGCTGATTGCTATTAAGGACACTCTCTTTAGGGTTGAACAAGACAAAATTCCTTTCGGAGGAAAGTACGGAGAAGGGGCTGCGAGTGTGGTGGGTGGCTGGGGAGGCATGCCTCTGAAGGTAGAAGTATGCAGTAGGTCACCTCTCTGAAGATTGGATAAAGCAGCTTTCAGGTCAATGCGATAGGTATACACACAGAGCCAACCCTCTATCCTTACTAAGATATACAGTACACGTGGTCCAGACCCGCGGGGTCTGTAGGTTTTGCAGCAACATATACCTGCTGGGGTTGTATTTAAGTTTTGTGTTTTTTTTTTTTTCTCAGTCTCTTTGTTTTTGGTACAGAACAGGGCTGCCCTCAGACAGTCCCTGCTCTTTCTCTTAGTCCCAGATAGGCGAGGAAGGAGTGTTTGGGTGAAGGGATGCTGGGAGGCGCAGTCTGAGGTCGGGGAGGGTGGAATGTGAGCTCCAAGTGGTTCTTGGGGTACAACATTGTCAAGGGAATGAGATGGGCAAAATCCGAGTTCCGGTACTTGTCAAAGCGCAAAGGGGAGCCGTTGAAGGCCAGAGCCTTGAGTGCCAGGTTAGGCTCCGAGCAGCTGCCGTGCGCGGCCGACAGCGCCACGGTCTGCAGAGCCTGCGAGGCCGACATGACCGACAGCGGAGACAAGAGGTTCCGAGAGCTCCCAACGACTAGGAGCGGGGCCCGGGGGCCGGCCGCTTCCTTGGGGGCTGGACACAGGCCCTTCCTGTCCTCCTCGGGGAAGTCCCCGCTCTGGTGCTTCTTGACGTGGCGGCTGAAGACGAAGGGGTGGGTGGTCTTGAACAGGCACTCTTCGCAGCTGAAGGTCTGGCGTGGGGCGTGCTTCAGCTTCTTGTGCAGGTTGAGATTGTCCTTGCGCTTGCAGCTGTAGCTGCACTGGTCACAGTGGAAGGGCCGCTCCCCGGTGTGCACGCGCACGTGCTCGATGAGCTTGTTGGCGGTCTTGGACAGGTAGCCGCACTGGTCGCACTTGTAGTGGTTGCCCAGGCGGTGCTCCCGGGTGTGCGTCTCCAGCTCCAGCTGGTTGGCCTTCACCGTCTGGCAGATCCGGCACTTGTACTCCATCTTGTAGTGGGTCTTGAGGTGGCACTCCATGGCGGCGGGGCGGTTGGTGGAATAAATGCAGAATGGGCACCTGCCAGGCAAGCAACGGAGGGAGGGTCAGACAGAAAGGCCCACCACAGCGCCTGCTCCCCTCCTCACCAGCTTCCCTCTGGCCACCCTGGGACTCTGCGGCCTGGCCTGCCCAGCCCAGCCCTGCCACCTCTCAGGAGGGGAGATGGCTCTCTCTGGCTGTCACTGCTGTCAGTGCCCTGCCCATTAGCCAGGTGCTCTGACCAGGTCTGCTCGGCCTACTCTGGGTCTCCTGGCTGGTACAGCCACCGCCAGCCCTCAGGAGCAGGAGCAGAGAAAGTGCCAGGAATAAACAGGCCGGGCTCCCTTCCAGCCCCCCATAACCCCAGAGTCCTCCCCACTCCCGACCAGACACCACAGAGGTCTAGACCTCCTGACCTCCCCTCTAGATGGGAGCAACACAAAGAATCGACTTTTCATGCACCACACCAAGCACACGCAGAAAGGCTAAGAGGTTTTAAAGAACAGCTTATAGGGGAGAGCTACCTCCAGCAAACAGAGAGTCACAGGGGTCAGAGTCGTGCTTATTAAAGGGTTAGGACGAGAAGGCCTGAGTGTGTGTGTGTCTCTGTGTGTGCGCGTGTGTACAGACATATGGGTTTGTAAAGCCTACCTCCTAAAGCCCTGGTTCTTTATCAGGAAAGGCAGGGAAGTACTATGTCAGGGGGGTGGCAGGTGAAGGAAGCCCACCCAACAGCCCATCCGCTACTGAAGTGTAAGGAGGAGGGGATACAACCACTGTCTGGCACTTGAAGACTTTCCGAGTTCATTAAGCCGTGGGAATAATGGTAATCCAGCGGGGTCACCAATTCTCAGAGGGCAGGACTGGGTTTTACGTCTCATCGGCCTTCTCTACAGTGCGTGGGGGGCGCTCAGCGCTCAGGATATACTGATCCCATTGTCTGCACGGCCTCTACAGTAACCGAGGCAGATTCTGGAAGGTGGAAGTTACTCCCAGCTCCATCACCTTCTCAGGTGCTAGCTGGATGCCCGAGGACAAAGCTTGGGCCCCTCGGTGGCTCGGTTTCTCCATTCTCTGCAGTGAGGATACGCTACCACCGGTCCTCCTGGCTGACCGAGGGGCTGCGAGGAGTGACAGGGCATGCTTCTAAAAGCTGCTGAGTTTCCCATTGAGAAGTCACCAGGCCTGCATCGGTGACTTATATGATAACTGAAGCGTGTTTGTTCTCTTTCCAAAAAAGAATGCGGATGCAAAAGTGGCTGCCTCAACTCTTGCTTGGCGCCTGCGGGGCAGGGCCTAGGAGTGGACTGTCCTCGGAGGGTTTGGAGAGGTGTTCAGCAGAGCCCAACACACCCGAGTGCACCGTGCACTAACTCCTCAGCGCCAAGCTCGCCGTTAGCCTTTGAACCTCAGCTCACAGAAGAGTGCACACGAGAGAAATATAAAGCCCATTCCCAGGTCAGTGCACACACAACCCCTACGCCAAGCTGGGCCTTACCTAGAGGAGTCTGAAACTCACCACTGTCCTGAGCTACGGCAAAAGAAAAATAATAGTATAATCTTATTTGATCTGCATTATGAACAGGATATAGAGTACAAGCAGTTCCATCACAGAAAAGCAATTTAGACATCAGCAGTCTGTTTCATTTTAAGGACATTTCTGTGACCCACAGCTCAATCTTTCTTTCACTGCTCAGGCAAAGTGCTAAGGGCTTTTCCGTGCTCCCATCATTTATCTTAAAGACACGCTCTCAGGCAAATTAATTCTCTGATATGGCAAAGGAAACAAAACAAAACAAAAGACTCACTGTATAGCCAGAAGGCATTATCAATTTTTTCAAAGTATTCTTCTACTTGGTCATCCTAGAACATAAACTATTACACAGGGGACGGTTAGCACTGCATGGGAAGTCTGAACCAGCAAAGCATCAGAGTTCACTGCGCATCCTCCCCGACAGGGCTGGAGGCTTGGGACTCCACGGGTCCCCAGGAAAGGCACACTGGCAAAGCCACAGCTGGGGGAGAGGGCGAAGTGAATGGGTGTGACTGGGCTGCTGGGAGGGGCGGTCCGCACTACTCCAACCTCAGGAGGCATGGTTTGCTTTGGTTTGTTTAAGTAGAGCACACGAGTATCCACAGAGGGACCGCGGGAGCCAACCAAATCCAGTTCCCAAATAAGCCCTTGCTAGGCAGTTTCCGTCTCCTGGTTTTCTATGGAATCAACAGGTAGGTGCTGGTGCTGTTTGGGCATGTTTCTGAGGAGGGTCCTTCTGACTAGGCAGGAGCCCGGAGGCGGGGTGGGTAAGCCTGTGCGGTCTCCAACACTTGGCTCCTGCGGGCCTTTGGGCCTCGCCATCCCTCATCCATTTAGGGAATCCTGCCTCCTCTTTGGTGGGTTGTGCCCGTGATGAAAATGTTTTCAAATAAAAGGTTTTTTTTTGTTTTTTTTTTTTGTTTTTCTGTATTATGTAAAATGTAACTTTTCAAACTTTTAACTATGTTATCATTACCCCTAAAATTTAATAGTTAGGCTTGGAACTTGTGTCATTCTGGGGCTGCATATGCTTCTCTCTTTTTATTAGACCTTGTTCTGAGTACCTTGTGAGCAGAGACACTGATTTCAGAATCGCTGGGCAGATTAAATTCTAGTAGTGGTAGGACATCAATTTCCTGAAAGTGGAAATTACGTCGTATTCCTTGTGTGTCCTTTAGCACCTGTTATCAAGCCAGACACACACACAATTTGATAATAACTGATGGGTCTCGTTGGAGGCCAGAGGGCTACTTGCAAATATTGGTTAATCACGATGCTTGTTGTCTAGATCTTTGGGGAGAGGCACCAGCATGTTTGCGGGAAGACACGAAGCACGTGATCCTGCATGAAAACATTGCCTTCTGCCTATTCAAACTGCGAAGGTTTCAATTTGGGGGAGGGAGGGTGGAGTGGCTGTAATGTCTACTTATCAGATACTTGGCAAACCACCTATGAAATATAGACGGTGAATTGCAGTGATAGTGTGATAATTGATACTCGGGAACACTCTGTCCTGAGTCCTTTAAAAATCAAGACTGAACAAAACCTAGGCGGTGTAGGATGAGTCTACCCTTGCATGTTGGGTTGATCTGACATATCTTCTTTCTTGCCCTGAATCCTGGGATATTTATAACATGGATTCTCCTGCTGACATCTGTTAACTCCCTGGGGCACTGGTCTAACTCAGCTAAGAGCAGCAGAGGATCTTGACTAACTATGCATCCCAAGTTCCCCATCTCCATGGCCCCCAAAGCCTTCAGGGGAGAGGACGGGGCAGGGCAGGGGAAGGGGTGTTTAATAACAACGCAGTAAAAGGTTCTGTACTTGCTTTCCTTACTTGAGCCCACCGGTGGGGACAGTGTGGCATTTCTTATGCTCCAGCAGCTGTTCAGGGGTCTTCATGAACTTGTGGCACACGTCACACTCAAACATCCGGGTAATGAGGTGTATCTGCAGATGGCGCTCAAACATGTTCTTCGTCTTGCAGACAAAGTTGCAAAAAACGCATTCGAACCCTGAAAGGACCGAAGCTGGGTGTAGAAGTGCCAGGGGCAGAGGGGCAGGAGGGCAGGAGGGGGGCTGAGTGCCCCTTCCTCACGCCCCTCCAACCCCAGAGAGCTACACCCTTCCAAGCACTGTTCCCCACATCTCTTAAACTTAGAGCTTCGCCCTCCTTTCTACCCCTGAATCTGGATGCAATTCCAACCAAAAGAACCACAGATTTCAGGCGATGCACATATATATGCTGTTCTCTGGGCCCAATATCTGTTCCAGATATTACTCCCTTTCTAGGTTTATTCTCAAGACGGTTATCTTAGAGTGGGA